TTGTGGTTTTGAACACTTATAAATAGACAATTAAAGCCATAATTCTTATAGAGAAATCTGGTGAGACAGACATGAGAACGGATCATAAATTATTGTGGAAAATTGTGAAACAATTTTGATCGAGAAACATCTATGGACGGATTATTTTTGGAACACTGATTAGGGAGCTCCCCATAATTTTTATCGACTGAGTAATCTAACTATTTAGTGATGGAATTGACCATCAGAGTACCTTTTTGTAAATATTTCATGTAAAAAGCGGTTTTTCATGCTTCAGAGTATGTGCTTATTCTCCAATACTCCCGGAAAATAACTGAGTATTGTTGAAATGAAAAATTGATATACAAAACACTACGTGACTTCGATAATGAATCATTGTTATATAATTCTACGATTTCGCAGCCCCGTAAGCTCAGTAAACAATGTTTAAATCAAAATAACTCTTTGTTTTTTTCAACCTTACCTTGAACACCCTTGATTTGGATTTGCCTGAACGTTCAAGATTATGTCGAGAGGGGCCTCCATTTTCAACACAAACATGTTTGTTTCGCTTTGTTTCTAGATGTTTCTTCGATCTAACGAAATAACCTCTTTAAACGAGATGCACGCTCGAAACAAATGATTACAAGGAATCAAGCGAATTATAACTATAGCCCGATGTGCATGGGATTTTACTCATGGAAATCTGTCTCGTCAATTTCGAATTGAAAGGGTCATGTCATCGAATAAGAAACGGAAAGTAATTATTGGTACAAGCCAATCATACACATTCATTATAAGTTGATGTGGGCTTCCAAATCAAGGTCGCTTGAATTATATTTTCAATTGATTTCAATCCTAGCGATTTTATTTCAGTGAACCGATATCAACGGCAAGCTTAACCCCTCATTAGAGCTGCCCATGAACTGAACACGAACACTTCAGTTCAAATTTGTTTTGTAAATTTCGTGTTCGTGTTCGTTCCGTGTTCAGTTCAATTGTTCAATTCATGCAAAAGTCACGTTTATGTTCGGTTAATGTTTGGTTAAAACTCGAACGAACGCGAACGATTACGAACAGTTTAGGTCAATGGGCAGCTCTAATCCTCATACAAATAAACATTCAAATCTATTTTGTTTTTGAAAGACTCTTCATTTTCATGGAAATTATATCCAGAAAAATATTTTTCCAAGATGACAACATAAAAATATGTGGTCACAATTTTAGAGCAAAATCATTTTCTGCATTCCTAGCTTAATCCAAAATTATTCATCAAATAAAAACCGAATAAAGTTATCTTTTCAATTAAATTTTATTCACAGCCTTTTCACCCAACGGTTGAATTTCAACAAATAAATCAATTTACAATAGATGTTTGCTTAAAATATTTCAAAAGCTGACTCTTCAGTAACTATAATCTACATCAATTGGTCGCATGGTCCAACGTGAGCCATTGTCAAATCAGCTTTCTTTCGTTGTTCGCAGCCCAAGAAGCATCTGTTTGCGTAATTTTTGTTGTCAGTTCCGCAAACTGGAAAGTATTCTAAGGTACAGAAGCAGTCTTCTTCAACGATTGGCAAAATGTGTACTTCATCGTCGATTCCTTCAGCGATTTCGATTGGCTTACCGCATTCACCAACATATTTGCGAGTTAAGTCGATCTTCTTGCGTTTTTCACAGTTCAACAAACATTCATTCAGGTAGGTTTGATCATTACTAGCGCAGACTGGAGTATATTCTTCGGTGCAGATACATAGCTCGTCGACCGGAAGATCATCAGCTTTTTCATCGCATTCGCCGTAGAATTTGATTTGTAAATCATGTGTGTGTTCTTTTTCACATTTGAATAGGCACAAATTGGAGTAGGTAGCGTTGTCGGATCCACAAATTGGGACGTATTCACGAGTGCAAAAACAATCGTTAGTGGGGGCCGAATGAGTTGATTGCATTGCCAAAGCAGCAATTCCAATGACGATGACGATCAATTTTTTTGAACCCATTCTTCACTTTTTGATACTTTTTTCAAAATTTTAGCTGATTTCACGCTGTTTTGTTGAATTTCCGAAATAATTACTTGTAATTGATTCAATTTGGTAGAACTGTTGCTTTCAATTTCTTTGCTTGAACTGATTTACTTACAATTTGTATGGCTATTTATATGGATCGCCTGCACATGGTGAGCTCAACCAAAATTCTTATCACACATTTTCAAGTGTGCTTTGCCGCAACTTGGAAACCGATGAGTAATAATTACACCATTCGAATTTTATCGAAATCTAAAAGAGCTAAGTAAACCTTGCCGAGAAGAAGCACTTGAGCACCACTTGTAAGAATCAAGAAAGAAAAAAATCGAATACTCAATGTTTTTTTTCTTGTTGCTGTTGATTTGACGCATTCTAACCGAAAATGCATTTGGCCAAAATGCCAATTCCGTTCAAAAATTCTTCCTCAATTTTCATGTTCTTATCAGTAACTTTGTATGTAAAAAGTAAATGCATAACATCTGTGGAATGCTAAGGAAATATTGCGATTTTTCTTATTTAAACCACCAGCTCAAGATAATCAAGTTGGAATTTATTTTCAATGGTAAATTTTCTACAATTTTGCAATTAGCATCGTTATTTTCTTGAACGAATCTTAGAACGGAAAATACCAATATTTTGCAATGGTTCCCTTGGATTCAGTGGCTAGCCAAATGTTATCACCAGAATCCGATTTACAATACATCCTAATATGTTCTTGATAACGCTTCGCTTTTAGCAAGTATATGTGATCAGAAAAGTCATTCTTAGAAAATTTCTCCATTTGTTCCGTGCTGGGCGACATTTTTGATAATAACTCAATTTGCCCGCACAAGAGTCGCTGCAAATTGGCTGAGCGTCGTATTGCAACGTCATAACGCTACTATTGAATTTCCAAAATGGTTTTCTAGCTGTGAAGGGAGTTACAGCGCCATATGTGTTTGAACATTTCAAATCATCAAAAACTTCTTCATATCAATCTAAACCGTGTTCTAGATCGACTCATCCGAAGTCAAAATGAAGATACTGTTACTCGCACTCTTAATTGCAATTGGTATACGTATGGAATAGTGTTCTTCACTTTTCTTTTGACTTTATTACATTCAATATTCTTTTCATTTCGAATTTGGTTCAGTCTAGCGTTGGGTTTCGAATGGATCGATTCCGTAAGACATCAACACAATCTTTTTCATTCTTCCAATGATGGGACGTGCGTTAAGCTATAATTATTCCATAGCCGGTCCTATCGAAAGCGTCACTTATTATAGCGGCTTATGGCCCTGTTACATCGCCCTCAATGTCACATATTTCCGAATGGGAAAGCCGTTAAAATTTGTATTATCATGCGTCAGATGATATGGACAAATGTCAATTCGCAGAAAAAGTGAAGCGTCATCAAGAACAAATTAGGATGTATTGTAAATCGGATGCTGGTAATGACATTGTGTTAGCCACCAAATCCAAAGGGACCATCGCAAAACATTGGTATGTTCCATTCTAAGATTATTCGTTCAAGGAAATAACAATGCTAATTGCAAAATTGTAGAACATTTACCAGTGAAAATAAATTCCAATTTGATTATCTTGAACTTATGAAAGAAAGCGCCTTTGTTCTTTTGATTTTCACAAAATCTTATGAGTTGAATGAATTTTAAGAGTTTGCTGTCTCATAATTGGGGAACGTACATTCAATTTGAAACGGATGCTTTCTTTACTCAATAATATCTCTTCGAATAACAACAAAAGTAAGTGGTCTTTTCAATATCATTACTGTGAAAAAGCGTTGTCTATAGACATTACATATTCCCACCTATGTGACTCGTCATTTTCATCACATGAACCAATTTTCATCGAATAGAAAAGTTCTTTTGAAAGCTGAAACCATCGCCAAACATTTTCACCTGGATGATAATAGAAAACGAATAGAAATTGTTGAACGTTTACTAATTTTATTTCAAAAACTCCCTTCCAGCGGTTGAATTACAACGAAATAATTAGTACATTTAATTTTAATTGGTTTAATTATGAACTACTTAGAATAAAATCAAAAATATTCGTTCTTTTCAAAACTTATGCATCTTCGCAAACTCCAAAATGTTTGATGACCAAACCAGTTTGATGTTTGCGTTCGCACAGCAACAAGCATTTATTGGAATAGGTTTCTCCGTTGGATCCACAAACTGGAGCGTACAATGCTGGGCAAATGCACTGATCAAATATTGACATCTCATCTGGAATTCGAATATCTTCGCCACATTCGCCGATGTATTTGAGTTTGAGATCCTTGTGCTTGCGTTGTTCACAGTTCAGCATACACTCGTTCGGGTAGGTACGGTCATCGGTGCCACAAACTGGGCAGTGTTCTAATGTGCAGAAGCAGTCTTCTTCAACGATTGGCAAAATATGTACTTCATCGTCGATTCCTTCACGGATTTCGATTGGTTCACCACATTCGCCTCGATATTTGCGAGTCAAGTCGATCTTCTTGCGTTTTTCACAGTTGAACATGCATTCGTTTGCATAGGTTTGATCATCACTAGCGCAGACTGGCAAATATTCTTCGGTACAGATACATAGCTCGTCGACCGGCAGATCATCAGCTTTTTCATCGCATTCGCCGTAGAATTTGATTTCCAAGTCCTTGTTGCGCTTCTTTTCACACTGGAACAAGCAGTTGTTGTAGTAGGTAACTCCATCCGAGGCACAAATCGGCAGATATTCACGAGTGCAGACACATTCGTTCGGCGGTGGAGCAGAGTAGGTCGATTGCACCAAAGCGGCAATTGCAATGATTACAAGTAGACTCATTTTTAACGAATTTTTCTGGAACTTTTGCAGAATTGGAGACTTCTGTTGAGTTTGAACCGCTCTTTTATTTGAATTGAACTGTTCTATTCGATTGCTTTGCTTGAACTGAATGCACCGATGTCCCAGTGGTCTATTTAAATGAATATCTTGTGCATACGTAAATGGAAGAACAAATCCTTATCAAAATGATCTCGAGAGTGTTTTGGTAGGTTCACCTTTTGTACACAATTGTATTCAATTTTTTTTATTGCAGACTTGAAAAAGTCGAGCAAAAAGTTTAAGAAAATAGAAACAAAGTACTTGAGTTGCGAAAAAGTGAGTTGTTTACGTTAAAAAGCCGGCTTCGGGTGTGGAAAACAGAGTCTTGTTGACGTTTAGCGGAAAAAATTAAGAATAACAAAAAAAGAGAATGGAATAAAAGCTATCGCTAACCAGCCAACCACAGCCAATATAAATCAGCTGTTACCAATCGTATGGCCACCGATCACAAGGTGTGAATATGACGTACGCAACGTTACGCAAGGTATTACCATGCAAAACGGGAGTGCAGTCCGTTCAGTAAATACAGACTTTCAAGTGGTTTTCAGTCCACACACTACTCGCCGTAATCGCAGCTACTACTGACAGATAAAAAATAACGCCATAATTCTTCCATTCTCAAGAAGCTTCTATATAAACAAACGTATGAACAACTTTGATTACCTATGGAGACTGTGAATGTTGCAATTACCAAGACAACATTTTCTTTCTCGCTCGCTCAGCTTAAAACAATGCTCACTATTCCAGTGAGTTCTTTATGGAAGGTTTATTGACATGAATAACAAAACAGTCCAATTCCATAATGTGCTCGCCAATTATGATTACCGGTTTCTTTACTAAAACTCAAGTGCTTTTAAAGTGTTCTCAATTTCTGCTTTAAAGTACTCTGCTAGTTAGACTTACCTCTAGTCGAATATTTGCCGTCACTGAAATATCACTCTATTATTGCGAAAAATGAGATAAGAGCTTGCGTTTGACTCGTTAGTGTTGAGGATATTTTTCGAGTTATTTTTGGATTTGACACAGTACATAGAAAGTAAAGTCGTTGCTACAGACATTTGATCATCAAGTAAAAATTGGGAATTTTTTTTAGAACAAATAGATAAAGCGTTTGTACGCATAATCGCATAAATGAAGTGTTTACGCTGTAGTAATAATTGCCCTTGTCATTGTTTTCCCCAATTTCCATGCCGAACAACGTGTTCTATAAAAAAAAATTCAATCACTTTTGCGGCGATAAGACTTCAACTTTTTTTTTGTACAACGAAATTCATTTTTTCTACCAAAAAAAGGTTGATCGAATATGTCATAAAATGTGACTTATCGTCTAGAGTCTGTTGAATTTGACAATTGGACGTCTCGAAAATACCGAAACTATAGCTCTAAACTTAGATGTTCTTAAAAAGGTAAACGCCAAAAATCTACGAAACGTTCGATCAATTAATTGAACAAATGCAATTGTGCACGTGACTGGAGTGTGAAGCACATGGCTGGAGTTTGCACACAACAAGTGTAATGTTTACGCTTCTGATTGCATTCAAGCAAAATCAAGCGCTTATTTGTCGTCTCTTTATTGCGTACAACGTCATTATGGCGTGATAATATTATAAATAGGTTAAAAATGAATCAGAAAACTTTCTACTACGTGAGTTGAATGGCGCCAGCCCTTTGTTTTGTACCAACCGAATTGTGAAATTTGCATCAATTGATGTAAAATGAATCATTTATAGTAAAGAATATTGCAGCGAATGCAATTTGTTGTTTATTTTGTCATCTGAAATAGCATTTGAATGGAAATAGTCATCAATTATTCACTCCATTTATCTTGGTTATCTTATATCGATCATCTTTCGTTTCATCTTTCTTCTGAACCTCTTTTTTAATCGATTTCAATCGAAAATGAAGCAAAAGCTAAGTAAATGAAATGAATAAGGTTTCAATGAATGATGACATTTGTTGCTGTAACAGCAGTGACGTAGAAATTTGCAAAGAATGTATTGACGTGAAACAATAAATCAATGGACCAATTTCACGCGAAAATAGTACAAGAAAAAGTGTTGTGTACGCACGAAATAATCTTCCAGACGCAAAAATTGGACTTATTTATAGGTCAAACTACCTTAGCGAAACTCGCAATGGCTGTATATTGAGCTAAGCTATTTACAAATAGCTGGCTGTTTGGTACATTTTGATTTTGTGAATATCGAGCCATG